GGGGGGGGGGGGGTGACTTAAAAAGTGACCTAATTGACGCCAAATCATTTGTAGAGGTTTGTAGTGAATGAATTTTCGTTCGTAGTTGTCCAGAAAAAAAGTTACAGCCCCCTTCGGAATTAAGGGTGGCGTAATTTTGCTCCCTCGTGAAGGGCTGTGTTCTCTAAACGGGCTATATCGACTCGAAATAATTCGTAGAGGTTTGTAGTAAAGGAATTTTCGTTTGTAGTTGTCCAGAAACAAAATGACGAATTTAATATCGTAATTTCGCCACCCTTAATTTCGAAGGAGGCTGTAACTTTTTTTCTGGGCAACTACAAACGAAAATTCCTTCACTACCTCACAAACCTCTACGAATTATTTGGCTCCGATATAGTCTATTTTGAGAACAGCCCCTCACAAGGGATCTGAATTAGGCCACCCTTAATTACGAAGGGGGCTATAACTTTTTTTTTTGGACAACTACAAAAATTCATTCACTGCAAACCTTTATGGATTATTTTGAGTCGATGTGGTCGGTTTAGAGAACAGCCCCTCACGAGGGGGCGGAATTACGCCACCCTTAATTTCGAAGGAGGCTGTAACTTTTTTTCTGGGCAACTACAAACGAAAATTCCTTCACTACAAACCTCTACGAATTATTTGGCTTCGATATAGTCGGTTTAGAGAACAGCCCCTCACAAGGGGGTGGAAATACGACACCCTTAAATATTTTATTGGCCGCCATTTTGTTTCTGGACAACTACAAACGAAAATTCCTTCACTACAAACCTCTACAAATTATTTGACGTCGATTTGGTCACTTTTTAAGTCAGCCCACGAACAAACGAAAAGTCTCACTACATATTTCTACAAACGATTTGGCGTAATTTTATGTAAAAAAATTTTTTTATTAAAAGTGGAGGGCTAACTTCACAGAGGTGAAGCTCTCACCTCTTTAATGGCCGCGAGACACAAACAGTCCACTCATGACAATTTTCATACGCGAGGCCGCCAAACGCGGCTACAATCGTAACGCGACGGGAATATATTTACTCCCTCGGAGTAAATATACTTCCGCCAGTTCGCTCGCTCGTTGGTGGCCCTAATTCGCTACGTGTCATCGCCGTAACATACGACACAGTGACGAAGACTCGCGACCGCGAAACTTTCGCGACTCGCGAAATTCGCCGCCGATTACCGCTGCTTTTCCTTAATTTTTGGGGGGAGTTAACGGCTCTATCGGGGGTGCTTCCCGGAGCCCGCTTCTGGATTCTCTCCTTTATCCTAAGAGGTTAGCGTCTAGACGGAATCTAGAACGGGTAACCTCTGTGGTCCTAGGCGGCTCTTGAAAACCCTTCGCTTCGGGGCATCCCCAGAACTTCGTCCTCCAGGTCTCAGCTCTTAGCAGTTCACAATCTCACGTGGGACCCTTTGTTTCTCTTAGCGTCGGGTGGCCCCTCTCCGTCCGTCCCCGCAACCCGCTTTCCGCTCGCATCTACCACCTCGTCGATCCTTAGCGCGCTGTCTCCGGTTCTCCCGCTGTTGATTCTCTGTCGCACTCAAATAATTATAGAAAAACGCGAGGTCCCGTGTACAAATCGCGCACGAGACACGAAAATGTGCGAGGTCGTCGTTCCCGCTAAGGAAAGAGGCGCGAGTCCGACTCTCCTGGCCCTCTCCTGTCAACGTTGGGGGAGAGGGGAAGGAGAATTTTGGTGACGGCGAAATTGCACGTCACACATCCAAGCAACTATCACTACCATTCTAGGAAGTGGCAGAGACAGAAGCATAGGCAGAGGCAAAGGAAGAGAAAGGGGTAGAGATGAAGGGAGAGGAAGAGGTGAAGAGGAAGAAGAGGGAGAGGAGGACGTGTCGCTGGGAGAAAGGCTTATATGGAAATATTTATTCAAAATAAATAAAATATTGTTGCGCCCGCGCTTTTGGGAGCGTATTGCTGGTTCGGTTCGAGATCGAGAGATGAGCGAGACAAGACGACGAGCAACCGGCTTGGCAACGTGTAAACAACAACAGAGATGAGATGGTCCCGAGCTGTCAAACCGATTGGACGTGCGACGCATCTCTCTGTTAATATTAGAATATTGTTAATCCTGCATCAAGAAGCTTTATAGCGGCATTAAATTCCTTCCTAGTTTACTCTAATAAGTGTCTGATTTATTCCCCGCGAACGCGAACGCGAGTGTGCGACAAGGCGCAACAATATATACAGGGTGTTCGGAAAGTACCGGGACGCCCGAATATCAGAAAAAATATAAGTTTTACAAAAAAATGTTTCAGACAAAAGTGGTGGCGTTTAAAAAGATGTATTTACTGATCACATCAGTTTGACCTTGGGTTGCGTAGCGAAGGTCAGGTCAAGGTCACATTAATTTTTTTAAATGGAACACCCCATTTTTCATTGCATATTCTTATAGCACATCTCGAGAGCTTTCCAAA